GACAAAAGACGCCACAGCGAGTAAGAGGGAATTCACTTGATCCCTCAGCAATCTTTGACGCGTGCACCGAGATGCCCGTCTACGTGCAAGTACCGCAATCAGGCCTCGTAAATTTATAACCGATAACCAGATCACGGAGAAGCGTACCAAGAGCGGGAACCTTAGACCGTTAGTGAATGTTATCGAACATACAGGGTGTGGCCGTAAGGACCAGCACATTTGGCACGCCTTGCAAACTTCGAATTCCAAACGCACGAAGGGAGTACCATATTGATTTACAATTTATCTATTTGTTTCGCTGCAGATACCGGTCACTTAGAGGGCCGTACTTATGTTCACTTTCTGAACAGACTCCCCATGTAGCCAAACGCACTTGTACCACCTGTGTGGCAGCCCCTCCGTGTCCTGCTGGAACCACTTTTCCAGAGTGCCCAACTCCAACACCTGGATATCTGCTTCCAGCTTACCAGTGAGCGTGAAACGGCGTCCTCGAGGTTTGTTTCATGCCACCCAATAGGGGATAACCACTGGGGGTCCGGCCTTCGTGACTAACTTGTTCGCCACGTTCAAATGGGACACTAATTAAATGCCAATTCGAAACTGTACACGCGAATATTGCTCAGCAGTTTGACCAAAGTGCGCGTGGGAGTGTAGCCTTTATGAATTCCACAAAAGCGTGAAGAATCACAGTGGTCATCACGTCTTTCTGGCAAAAGTTTGATTAGATTAGATACAATACATAAGGACCCATGTGTAGAATGATTTGGTAGGTCCGCTCATTTATATTTTGCACAGTTCTCGACCATAATTATATAATCAGGTAGTTCAAACTATGCAAATAACGAATACCCCAAATTCATGGACACGTCAAACGACTGGAACGAACTCGTTCAAAGATTCGACGAACCAGAGCACCCTGATGGGCACTATCAGTGTCGTGGTCGCGACCTGATTCACTGATTTTTTAAAGGGTATAATACCTAGAATGCCTTCGTTCTGAAGACACCCTAAGTACCTGTTAAACAAGGGTTTTGTAAGAAAGAAAAACTGCCAAAATCATTCCACAAACATCGATGCATAAATTGTTTCTAAAAATAATAAAAGTTACTTTCTTTCTTTTTTTTTTTTTTCGCCACTAACACGTTTTCGGAAGTCTACACCTTTACAATACGCCTGAAACACTGAATATGAGAACGCGGTTCGGTGTATATTTGTTCATTTTTCTCGAGAAGACGACTCCCAGGACGCTCCCAGCTTACAGTAAATTGCAATAATTACTGCTTCGCATTCCCAGTGGTAAAGCCTATACGCGGGCGTCTCGAGCAATAAATAGACTGACCCATCAACATTTTTGATCAGTTTGCGGCTATTTCGCGTCAACCTGCTCAGCGAACGAAATTAAAATGCCGCGGGTCTCGCAAGTGTTTAACCGTCGTGAGCTGAGGCAGTGCTTGACGCAACTCAAGGTTTTTCCAAAGTTTGCTTACGGTTCCTTTGAGCGTAATAAACGGGTCGCCGACTTGCTCGCATTCCTGAAGTAACTACTGCGAATAATCGGATCTTCTCGCAGCATGACGTTTTCACGGAAAAGCAACGACCCTAAACGCTGGGATATTAATCGGAGCTGTAGGCTGTCGGCTAAAAGGGCGAAAGCAACGACCTATTCTCTTGATGAGAGCTCTCTGAGGCAATAAACAGATCGCAGCAAACACAGAGCAGATGTGTGCTGGCACAGTTGTTTACCTCAAGAAATAAATATATTTTTCTCGATGAGCGTACTAACTGATGACTTTAGTATTGGGGTTAGTGCTACCCATACACTGTCAAACACGCACGCACGCACGCACGCACGCACGCACGCACGCACGCACGCACGCACGCAAGCCTGAAACCTTTGTAATGTTCTGACGTAGATTCCATTCTGTGCAGGTAGATCGCGTTGATGAATCTGTGCACCAATATAACTGCTAAATTAAAATGAATTAAAAAAAAAAAAAACAGGACTGCACGTGTTCCGATGCCACGTTTCCTGCATGAATGTGGGGTTGCTCTTGCATACACCGCTTCACACTATGAACAATTCTGGGGTTTCTACTTTCCCAGAGAGCACTCGAAGAGCCATTTACTGCGACCAAATGCGGTGAATGCCGAAACCCGAAAAAAAAAAAAAAGATTTCATAAAATAATGAAGCCTGTGATGCGCCTAATTATAACGCTTTCCACGGTCACGTCATACTTAATGTTTGGTCGCAGACTTTATTTTTAGATCGGAAACAATGATTTTTTTATTATTATTATTTTGATTCCGGCATTCGCAGAGTTCGTTTCCATAGATCGCAGTGAATGACTTCTTGAGAGAAGCACGCGCCAGTCAGAAAAGCGTACACGCTGCACAGAAGGGCCAGCAACAAATTGCGAAAAGTATGTTTTACATACATATACCGCAAGCAGCTACTTAAGCCGTGCGGAGAGAGAGAGAGAGAGCAGCTGATCGCTCTTTCGGATTCGCTGCCGCCTGTATTGATTTTTTAAACTTATCTTAAGCGTTGTTAGCGCAGTGATCACCTGGGGGTATACATGGGGCTAATTTACGGCCATTTTTTTTTATCTTTCGCCGCAGGGGTGAGTTAAGCGATGGTATGAGGGACCGTACGTGATGTGAATAGCGCCCGCGCGGCGGTACACGAACAGAATCGGACAAAAACGGTTCGTATCCACAGCTCAGGTACGTTGAGATCCTCCGGTGTTTACAAGGAAGTTCGTTACGTACGCCGCGCTTTGTATTTCTGCAAAACACACACACACACACACGCACACAAATATTTCGTCACTAACAAGGCGCAATTGTACTTGACGACGTAATTAAACAATAGCATTTTAGCATTTTAACGACGTAATTGATTTCCTTCCTTCTTTTTTTTTTTTTTTTGTTGTCGTTGTTGTCTAGGGTGCACGCCTTGCTCACTCTTCTTTAGAAGCTCAGTACGCGAACTCCAAACTTTCCAAGCATACAAACACACTAGCCCGCCGCAACGACACTTTTTTTTCCCAGCGCTACCGTCTCCTGTCAAGTGCACCAAGACTGAGGACGAAATAAACGTGAAGTGGCGACTTTATTGGTGGAGAAATTAACGGACCTTGCGAGAGATGTCTCGGTGTGTCGTATTCGTAACGGTACGGAATATATCTAAGTACTTCGGTATTTAGATATAGCATATGAGTGGGATTGAAATAACATGTCTGAATACTGCCAAACGATCAAAGCTGAGGTGCTGTCCAAGATACTCTTGCTTATATATTTGCTTCTAAATAATAAATATTGAGCACGCACAAACGCACCTCTCGTTTCATGCCCGTTGTTCTGAGCAAGCGGAATGCGTTGTGACAAGCTGTGCACACCAGGCAGCGCAGCTTGTCACAGCTCTTCGTTTTACACTCATTTCGTAACTCGTACCAGGTGATATGACAACAATGACCACTTAGTCATAATGATATAATTGGGATGGGTTTCATTACTGACTAAAAGGGGAGAACAAAAAATTGGTAGTGGTTACCTTAATTTTATACGAATCTCCAATATACTCAACCCAACCAATGAGAACGGATCCAGAGGAGAACGAGAAATGTAGTCAACTTAGCCGCGCGCCTCCAGAAGTATATACGGTTAGACGTCTCTCGGAGAGTAACTGTCTCAGGGTATAAAACACCTGAAGGCGTCTAATTCCTCCTATTAATAACCAAAAAAAAAAAAAAAAAAGAGGATTTGTTCTTGTTTTTATTTCAAGAAAGAAAAAAAGGAAGTTTTGCGTATTGTTCATACGCCGCGCGAAGTTCTACAAAATTTGCTTGTCGGAGGAAGGATCGATGCCTGTGGAGTTTGAGACCGCGCATGTCTTGATAAGATAACACATATCTAATCTTAAATGCACCTACATATGTCTTAATTCCCCTCATACACAAGGAAATTAGTAATCCTCCGCGAGGAGCCGTACTTAATTTTACTGCGGTTTTTTAGGGAAAAACGAGTATAGCTCCGACTTTTTCTGCAGTCGTCCTCCGAAGCGGTCGTCGCATTTGTTGCATCGCTGACGCGACTAGTAATGCGCGTACTAGTTCCATTAGTGCTTACTACGCGGCGTACACCGAATCAATTCGAGTCGTGTTCAGCAGTTTCGTGTTCCTTTTTTACTTTCCCGCTAAACTTTGTCCTTAGAAATTCACGCGCAAGGATCCATTGGTTCACCGCGCGGTCTCGTTCAAATCAGATGGTCCGCTTGCTGTCGGGCGGGTGTTTGTACCGCCCCTCGCCCGAACCTGGTTCCAAAGCAGTCTGGTTCTGTGCACTCAATGACGTCCTTCGCCACGTGACACTCATGTGGCGTAACGAGTGGCAACGGCAGATTGTTCTTGTGTTAACCCAACGCCGTGAAGCCATCGTCGCTGGATTTTGGAGTGCTATCTTATCGGCGCTGCCGGCCAGACGTTCCTCGGTCAAAAGAGCCCTATTAAAGTGCCGTTACCTGGGGACCTGCCTCCGGCCAGCACGGTGAGGGGAGGAAGGACGGGCCTCCTTTGTCCTCGTGTTTTGTCTCGCGACGTGCCAAGGTGAAGCCCGTGGCACCCTTTGCTCGTTCTTCCTTCCCGGTCGCGCGCGGGGTCGAAGTTAATCCCGGCAGCTCGACTCGGTCGACCAGCGTAACCGGGCTTAATCCCCGACTGCCTCTTACGGCATGGAAAGAGGGGCGAGGGATGTTGGGCGGATAAGCCAGTCGGGATTAGCCAACGGACGTGGTTTTCCCCGTTCGGGCGGAGGGCTTCCTCGCGGCATCGTCGCCGATGTGACTCGAAGCTGCGGGCCTTGCGGGGGACCTCTGGCAGGTGAGAGTCGTCCCTTCCTCAAGCCCCTCGACCCACGTGACCGCGAGCGTTCCGATTGGCGGGAGCGGACGTGACGTCAGCGACGCTCAAGTCTCCTTCGCTGGACGGCGCGCGCGCGCCTCGGCGGTCGGCGGCTTCAGTTTGACGTGCGAAGTGGAAGTGCTAGTAGCGTCGGCTCCGCGCACCGATGTGAGTGTCAGTGGGCGCAGCGGGCTCCTCGATTCGGCGTTGGGGAGCAGCACGCACAGCATGCGCGGGCAGCCGGATTCGGACACCCTGCCCACCGATCCGCCGACCACCAGTCTGTTGGGATGTTTTGCCGCTAACGCCACATGCTTATACACAAGTGAGTGCGCCCGGCCTCGCACCGAGGTCTCGACTCTTTCCTTGACTCCTGGCTCGCGCGCGTGTTCCCCGTGGAGCGAATGGCACTGATTGCACACCTGACTCTCCGAGACAAAGGGACGCAACATGATGTACCTTTGCTTCGGAAGTCTCGTGCACCGACGGGAACGTTTATTGTGCACGCTTCGTTTACTTCAAAAAAAAAAAAAAAAAAACTTTTTTTTGCATGTTTTTGTGTTTTTCTTTTTTTTTTTTTTGACGCAACGGGGTTGCGTGGGGCTTTGGCCCTTAGAGACGACGTATATTATTGATCAATGTTGTCACCTGTGTCTAGTTCAAGAGCAAACTAAAGGTTTCATTGAACTCCGTTGTACATATGTAAAACCATCGTGGTCGTGTGCATTTTTTTTTTCTCTTAATATGTATGAAATACCGATTGTGGGACCACGAAGTTAGTTTCGTGTTCGCAATTTAAAAAGCTGCTAATTCACATTTAAAATGATATCGAAAAGAAAATAATAATAAAAAAAGTCGATGTTACAAGTGCACTCGCAGAAAAATGACATTGGATGGCGATTTGTGCTGCGAGTAATGAATTTCTGCCACACATGAGCATCGCGCGTTGTCCACGCTTTCAATCCTACTATGACTTCTCCAAAGTCCGCTTAAAATCCCCTGAACCCGGGGGCTGGGTGGCCTCACCGCGCGCGTGCAACCGATCCCCCGAGCATGCCACCGGAGCCGGGGCAGCCCACGCACGCAGCCCCATTGAAATTCTCGCGGCGTCCCGCTGCTACCGCTTTGATCGGGGGCATCCCGCAGGAGGTGTCATGCCCTGGCGCCTTGTGGCCCGCGCACACCGTCTTTGTGGTCCTTTCGGCGGGAGCCTCGGGCGTGCGCGACAGTGCGCGCCGCGTCCGCGCTGGCCACCGAGCCGAGTGCCAAAGTGCGTACCGGAAGGCTCGCCGGGGTGTGCTGCCTTTGTTTCCAGCGACCCAGACGGACGACGGGCCGTGCATCACGCGTGCCGCCGTCCTCCGGCGGCGCTTTCCCCTCGCACGGGGGAGGACGCGTATTTACATGCGTGCTGGGAAAGTATTTACGGTTTCCGGGCGGTATTCTTACCTGCGCATTCCGCGCTAATCTCGTTAGGCCGATAGCGGTTTATGGGGGCCCCCGCAAGAATGGCGAGCAGCGGCGGGGTCAAAGTGGCCGCGGCCGGCGTGCATTCCGGCCGTTCCAATCAACGGGGCTTCGCCGGGAACAAATCAACGCGCTGCCAGCGGGCGCGGGGGAGCGCTCACCGTGATGCCATCATTAGCCGTCAAAGGGAGGACTGCCGAGCACGGCAGCCGCCTGGGCGCCCGGAGGCTCCGCGGCTAAGTTATGGACGGCACTGCAGCTGCTGGCTCCGCGGGAAAACAAAAAGATTCCCGACGCGTGTATTAGGATGGATGTGACACGCTTGGAGACTGCTGCCGGAGGGCCCCGACGGGAATGTTGCTTGTCTGGACAGATCGAGTGCTCCACACTAATGGGCTTCCCGAAACAATTGGGGACGAGCGCCCCCCTGGCGGCCGCCGTGCACTACAAGCGCGTGTTCAGAGAGCGCGGATTCCTGAAACGGCAGAGAGAGATTTGTTGCGTCGCCCTCGCGCATTCCTCGCGGTATTCGGAGCCGGAAAGTGAGCTCGCGATACGGAAGGGATAGCGAGTGCCCCCACCCCCAGCGGTCGCTGTTTGTCCGGCCGCTTGTCATTGCTCGCGCAATTAGGGCGACGTTTCCGGCAGCTCCACATTCCTCCAGGGCCACCGGCGCCCATATAAATACCGCTCAATCCCCCGCGCTCGGATCGCTCATTCATTCTTGTCGAGGACGATGGTTCTTCCTATTTTCGGTCACGCGTCTCCAGAGCCGGTAGACTTGGACTCGCGACTGCGGTCCAAATGGCGGAGTCCCGGAGATCAGTCCCTCACCGCGAGCCTCGGCTGCATCCCCGAACAGGTGGCGTTCGCCAGGAGCCCTCCACGGGCTACAGTCACGTTCTCCACGCTCTGACTCGTTCGTCCGTACATCTGCATGCCTGGAATCCACGGCACCGCCGGCGTGCAGCGAGCTGGCAAGCGATTCCTACGCAGCGGTCATGCAGCGCTCGCAGACTCCGCGCGCCCGCCGACGGGCGAACGGGCAAGGGAAGGCCCGAGACTTGAGTTTCCAGAGTTCTTTGACACACGCGTGCTTTCCTTCCCGCGTCGGGCGCAATAAAGCTCCTCAAGATAGGGGCCAACAAAATAAATAAATGCTGGCGCCTCTAACGTCAAAAAACCAGACGACTGTCGCCGATTCCCGACCACTCCCGCCGCGGCGTCGCCACAGAGCCTGCCATGCGTCCTACGTCCGTGGATGCTTCGATCACGTGCAATCGCCGGGGCCTCGTCGAAGACGGCTCGGCTGCCGGCAGCGCGCGACGCGATGCGGCGATGCCTCGGCGCCACTGCCCACCCGAGAGCAGCTCATTTGGTGGGCGTTGTTGGGTGGAGGCGGTTTGTTTTCGCCGGCTGCACGGCCGTGCTGTGGCGCGACGCGGAAGTTGAGTGATCCACAGGTGCTTGCGTTGCTGATGGATGACCAGTTTAGCGTCCCGCCGGCAAACGCGGGCTTATGGGGCTCGACGGCGCACGCTCGCTGCCACATGGGGCCGCAGCTGAACCAGCTGTTTCGTCTCCTTCTATCCGCTCTGGGTCAAGCTTCTCCGCGCCCTAAATGGGACCGCTGTCTATCCTATGATCCATTTCGTAACGTTTGAACAGGAGTCGTTCAAATAAGGTCCCTGATAAGATGCACGCTTCGCACTGCTTACAAGTACCGACAACCACTTGTTGTGTGAATGCGCGACACGCGAGCTAGTGTGCTGCGCCGCCATGTGCTTCAAAGGGTCTCACAGGTCACGGGCCTCGTGTATTATCGCATTTGACGCTACTTCAAAAGCTAGCACATCGAGACTCGCTAAAATGCGTGCCACCTTGCGGCGATCGGACCAGACGGTGCAGGCGTACATGGAGGTCTACTGCAGAGGTCTCAACCCGTCGGGGACAGATGGCATTCATATTTTTCCCATATGCGTGTTAGAACTTATCCCCCATCCATAAATACTCCCAGGTTGCGTGCCGTGTAGGTCTGTCAAAGGTGTACGCGAGAGATAGCATTTCTGTTAACTGCTTTGTTGGCACGAGCACTTGCGCAAAGGGACCACCCTCAAAGTCCTGTACTCGCACTCGTGCATCGCACAACGGCGAGCACAATTCTCGTGACAAAGTATATTGTGCGCAGTACACTAATGATGCGAGTATACTGCCTCAAAAGGCGGCGATTATGTGTCGGCGAATGTTTCTTGGCTCCATTATTCCAACATATTGTGAGACCCTGCTCCATGGCTCGCCAAAAGTTTTCCTATAGCCAGTCCTCCATTGGGCGGAAGTATAGACGCTTTGCAGCAGCTGTGCATGGACGCCGCCATAACTGACCTTCAGTTTTTGTTTCCTCTTATTTCGTTTATTTCACTTCACCATTACCATAGCAGGCCAGGTTATTGACATATTAGATTCAACTGTGTCCTTTTCTAAAGCATCGGCCTTTGTAGTGGATCGTCAACTACCGTTTCAGTTGCTCGGCATCTGGGTAAGACAAAAGAAGGTCAGCAATGGCGGCTATAATTTGGCGCGTGTGTAAAGCGTCTATATATATAGCTTCTGGGTGATGCGTTGTTGCGGACGAGACGGTGAAGATAGTTCTCCAGATAACGTGTAAAACAGCGTAAGATACGAGCTGGGAGAGCAGCACGTCCCGACCGTATTTATATGCTTCCGGGCGTTCAGCGACATGCTGCTACGCCAGCAGTCTTGCTCGGAGGCGGCGAGGGACTCACACCCGAGGCGCAGTTCGCCCAAGTTGCAAAATAGCTGACCGCGTAAACGCACACATACACGCTTAGAACGTCCACCGGGGGCTTGTTGTGTTGCCTAACCTGGCTGCAGCCCATTACTCAAGAGCCTGCAAGGAGCTCCGCATTCGCCGTGTCCCGCGTGTGGTAGAAAGTTAGGACACGCACGGTGAACTGCAGGGAGTTTTCGTAGAACGCGTTTCCTCTTGCGCTAAGCCCTTCGCAACGAAGAAGCCGCTGCTGCGCCTGCTCGCCGATAGCCTTGAGTGTACAGTTCCGGGTACCGTAGCGGGTTGCGGAGAGCGTTGCGGGACGGCGAAAACCATCTACGAAAACTCTCTGTTAGCCGCTCACGTTCGCTATCCTGAAGGAGAGCCCCCAATCACTTACTTCACCAATCGCCATCACGCAGTGTGCGCCTTTTTTCCTCCTCTTCTCTAAGTTTTGCCCTATCACTGTCGTCTCATCTAAATCTCGTGCGCTACGATCGCATCCTTGTAAGAGCAGCTATAGTTTTTCGGTTTGGTGACATCGAATAGTGAGTGGACTGTGGTCCTGGGTAAATTGCTTTAGAAAGTAATTTAATTGGAGTTACACCTACTTTACTCCAACGTCAGTTCATAAAAGGTTTAATTATGTAGTATCTGACCTATAGTCAGATACAACTTAAAGCGCGACGTACAACCTCGGTTTTCTGCAAGGGTGATTATCCTCTTAGCACTCCCCCTCTCCTAAGCTGCAAGGGGAGTCAAATAGGGGTAAGTTAAGAAGTGGAAAGAATATAGGAAAGGAGAAGGCGGGCAAAAGTGGAAAGCGCGAAGTGTACGTCGGCCTTTAAGAAAGACAGTATGAGGGAGAGAAGGCCGGAAACTAGGGAAGTGGAGTGGGCCACCTCCTTTCCACACTGGCTTTTCTCATGCGCGCCCTTTTCCCCATCGCACTGCCCTTTTGCTGTAGCTGACTATAGTTACTTTTTAAGAGAAGGAACGAGTAACGTGTTTTCGTTAGTTTTTGATGAAGTAACGAGTAAGAGTATTCAGTTACTTGTGGAGGGAAACGT